TATATATATATTTATTTATTTATATTTTTTTGTTATAACATACTGAATTAGAATGAACAAGATTTTGTTGTAAGACAATGAAATGATTCAGTGATTTCTAACGTGCGATATCTGGACCAATGATATCACTATTACTCAGGGACTTAACTAGAAATGCAGATACTTAGGTTCTAGAACAAATTAGGAGATGGAGCCCAGCAATTGCTCCATCTGTTTTAACAAGCTCTCTGGGTGATTTTCATCTGTGTTGAAATTTGAGAACCACTGACTTAACACATTAATTTTAAAAAGTACTGAGAGCAGAGACTCTGTATTTTCTTTTTCTTGTTTTGGTATTGGTGTTAAACTCAGGGTCATTCTACCACTGGGAAACATTCCTAGTCTTATTTTTATTTTGAGACAGGGTCTCACTCAGTTAAAGGCTGAACTTGAATTTGTGATCCTCCTGCTTCAGTTGCTGGAATCACAGGGCTGTACCCATGTGTCCATATACCATGTATTTTTCTTCTAAATTTTTGCAGCACTGCTGTAGCCTTAACTTGAATGAGTTTTAGGTTGATTAATCTTTTTTATTTTGCCTTATTTAATTTTTAAGCGATTTTCAAAATTTTGCCATAGATAAATTGGCGTCTAAAACATCCTGTTCAAGCTGGGAGCAGTGGCACATGCCTGTAATCCCAGTAGCTCGGGATGCTGAGGCAGGAGGTTCTCAAACTCAAAGCCAGCCTCAGCAATGGCGAGGCACTGAGCAACTCAGTGAGACCCTGTCTCTAAATAAAATACAAAATAGAACTGGGGATGTAGCTCAGTGGTTGAGTGCCCCTGAGTTCAATCTCTGGTACTCAAAGAAAAAAAAAAAATCCTGTCCAGATATAGGAGCAAGGATTGGTTATCTGCTTGTATGCATTTATTTCTCATGTCATATGTCTATAAGAGTCTGAGACAGGAGGATAGCAAAGTTGAAGGCAGTCTGGGAAACTTAGTGAGACCCTTTTATGAGAATTAAAACACAAACAAAACGAAAGCTTAGGATCTACCTCAGTGGGAGAGCATTTGTACAGTATTTGAGCCTTGGGTTCAGTCCTCACTCCCCCCTAAAAAATTCCATAACCATTTTATTAGAATTAATAGGAATGAATGCTACTTCTAATGAGATAACCAACAAATTTATATATAATTTTTAAAATATGAGCTTGTCCTATTAATTCACACAGTGTTTACAGCACTATAGCTTGGATCTGGGAACAACACCAAAAATGTATATATATTTTCTGTAAATTTAGCATTAATATAGAAAACATCTGTGTATGCAGGTATTCTCTATATTTTTGTGGCATAGTAGGAGACTTCATATTAATTTTTGTTTATATTTTTTTTGTGAATGCAACATTAAGTATCTCTTTATATGTTTATTGGCCAATCATTTTTGTCTATTTTTTTATCAGATTGTTAGTACTTCTTTTTCTGAAATTAGGAGTTTTCTTAAAATAATATGTAATACAACTATCTTTTTTTATACCATGCATATAAACAAAGAGGAAAATCTTATTTCATACTTGAAATCTCCTTTCTAGTTTTCAGGTCCAGTCAATCTCATACTCATGCTCTTAATGGTTTGCTTTTGGGGAAACTCTATAAGGGTGTGTTCATCAGCTTTCTATCATTATAACAAAATGCCTGAGATAATTTTATTTCTCTTTTTTTAAGAGAGAGAGAGAGAGAATTTTTTAATATTTATTTTTCAGTTTTTGATGGACACAACATCTTTATTTTATGTGGTGCTGAGGATCAAACCCAAGCGCCCTGCGCATGCCTGACAAGCACGTTAATGCTTGAGCCACATCCTCAGTCCATAATTTTATTTCTTATAAAGAAAAAAGGTTTACTTTGAATCATGGTTTTAGAGATTCCAGTCCATTAGCAGGGGTGGACTCATTGTTTTCAGGCCTTTGGGGTTGCTAGATGGCAATGCTAGATTGGCAAATTGTTTCCATCAGAGTAAGAAGTAAAAGAGGAAGGGACTGAGTTTACAGTACCTCCTGGTAGGTGCCACCTTAGAGGCCAATTCTTTAACACCTGGGTCTTTGGGGGACATTCATCATCCAAACTAAGGCAAAGGGTAAAAAAAAGAAATGTACGGAAAATTACTGCTTTTGGATTTTTAATATTAGGTAGATCTAACCTATATATAAAATAATTAATTTTAATTTTCCACAACAGATTTCAACCTTGTTTGCCTACTTTTTAAAAAAATAGTTACTTTTTAGTTGTAGTTGGACAAAATACCTTTATTTATTTATTTTTATGTGGTCTTGAGGATCGAATCTGGGGCCTCACACGTGCTAGGCAAGCACTCTACCGAAGAGCCACAACCCCAGCCCATGTTTGCCTATATTTTATATTCTCTCTCTTGTTTTTTAAATATTTTTTTAGATGTAGATTTTCACACCATATCTTTATTTATTTTTATGTGGTGCTGAGTATCGAACCCAGCGCTTCACATGTGCTAGGTAAGGATTCTACCATTGAGCCATAACACCAGCTCCCTTGTTTGCCTACTGGAATCATGGGGAAGCTTTAAAAAATATACCAACTCCTGAGACCCACTATAAAGATTTTGGTATATTTGATCTGGGGTGCAGCTTGGGCATTGAATGATTAAGTACTCACTAGGTGACTGAATTCTGTATCTAAGGAAGAAAGCCACTGCATTAGGAGTATCTCTAAATCTTCACTGTCTAATAGAGTAGCCACTGGTCACACACAGGTAAATTCATTACATTTAAATAAAATTTAAATAAAAATAAAATACAGTTCCTCAGTCAGACTGGCTCTGCTTCAGTGCTCAATGGTCACCTGCAGTTAGTGGCTATTGTGTTGGGCAGCATAGATATAGAATGTTTCCAAATTGCAGAAAGTTCTATTGGACAGCGCTTCTCTAGATTAATATTGGTAAGAGTGGTCTTCTAGGAATGAAGACTGGGGACAGGGATGAAAATGTGACTTACTTTCACTAAACAACCTTCTGAACCTTTTACATCTTATATAATATTTGTAAATTACCTATTCAAAAAAATTTTAAGTTAATGAGATAAAAGTGTATTAACCAACTAGACATAATAAGCATCTATTGACTACTTCATCCAACTACAGTAAAATATACATTTTTTTCAACCTCACATGGAACTCTCACCAAATTATACCACATTTTGAATCATACAACACATCTCAACAAATTTCAGAGAATAGAAATCATATAATATCCATTCTCAGATCTCAGTAGAATTAATCTAGAGAAAAGCAATAAAAAGTAATTGGAAAATTCTAAAATATGTGGAATTTAAACAACACACTTATAGATAACACATGGGACAAAGAAGAAATATCAAGAGAAATTTTTAAAATATTTTGAATTAAATGAAAACAAAAGCACAACTTATAAAAATTGTGGGATGCAGCAAAAGCTATGCTTAGAGGGAAATTTATAGCATTAGATGTACATATTGGAAAAGAAGAAAGGTCTAACATCAGGAAGTTCCCATCTTAGGAATCTAGAAAAAGAAGCGTGTATTAAATCCCAAGTAATATGTACAAAATCCCTGTGAGTAAAACTACAAAATCTAGATGAAAACAATCAAAGGATAATGAAATACATGGGCAAATATTCCAGGTTCATGGATAATATTGTCAAGATGTCAGTTCTTCATCTTGATTTGTAATTTAATGCAATCCCAATCAAAATCCCAGCAAGTTATTATATGGGTATTGACAGACTGATTGTAAAGTTTATATAGAGAATCATTAGACCCAGAATAGTCAACATAATATGGAAGGAGAAAAACAAAGTTGAAGAACTGGCACTACTTAACTTCAAAACCTATTATAAAGTCACAGTAATCTAGACACTATGGTGTTGGCAAGAGTAGACATTTAGATCAATAGAATAGAACAGGAAACTCAGAGACAGATCCACATAAATATAGTAAATTGATTTTTGACAAAATAGCAAAGTCAATACAACAAAACAAAGATAGTCTTCAAAAAATGGTACTGAAATAGCAATGCATGGTGGTGCATGCCCATAATCCCAGCAATTCAAGAGGCTGCGGCAGGAGGATTACAAATTTGAGGACAGCCTCAGCAATATAGAGACCTTATCTCAAAATAAAAGAGAGTTGGCTCAGTGATAAAACACCCCTGGGTTCAATTCCCAATACCAAAAAAAAAAAAAATCTAGATACAGATCTTCATAAAAATTAATGTGAGCTGGATATGGTGGCATATATCTGTAATCCCAGCAATTTGGGAGCTTAAGGCAGTAGGATTATTGGAGGCCTGGGCATCTTAGTGAGCCCCTATCTCAAAATAAAAAATAATGTGATTCAATAATATGGCATCCCTGGTTTCAGCCTCTGTTATTGAAAAAAAAAATTGAATTAGAGGCCTAAATGTAAAGAGTATAGAACTAGGAGAGAAACCCAAGATAACTTTAGATATTGTGATAACTTTTTAGATACCACACCAAAATCATGATTCATATAAGAAATGATGAAATCGCTGGGCAAGGTGGCATGCCTAAAATCCCAGCAGCTCGGGAGGCTGAGACAGGAGGATCTTGAGTTCAAAGCTAGCCTCAGCAATGGAGAGGTGCTTAGCAACTCAGTGAGACCCTGTCTCTAAATCAAATACAAAATAGCGCTGGGGACATGGTTCAATGGCTGAGTGCCCCTGAGTTCAATCCCCAGTACTCCCCCCAAAATGGTGATGTTGAAGTTGAGTAAGGTGGTATACACCTGTGATCTCAGCGACCCAAGGCTAAGGCAGGAAGATCACAAGTGAGAGAGCAGCCTCAGCGATTTAGCCAAACCCTATCTCAAAATAAAATAAAAAGGGCTAGGGTTGTGACTCAATGGTGGAGGTCTCCGGGTTCAACCCCCAGTACCACTACTAAGAAAAAAAAAGTGATGTTGAGCCATATTTATTGGCATACAAAGATATCTCTGATTCTGTTAAAAAATATTTTTTATAGTTGTAGATGGACACAATACCTTTATTTATTTATTTTTATGTTGTGCTGAGGATTGAACCCAGTGCCTCACATGTGCTAGGCAAGTGCTCCACCACTGAGTCACAACCCCAGCCCTAGTTCTTGTTTTTAAAATGAAAAAAAGCAACTTTCAAGAGAGTGATTATAATATAATCTCATTTTTAAAAAATATTTTTAGTTGTTGATAGACTTTTATTTTATTTGTTTATATGGGGTCCTGAGAATTGAACCCAGTGCCTCATACATGCCAGGCAAGTGCACTACCACTGAGACCCAGCCCCTATAATCTAATTTTTATGCAGGAAAAAATTATATATTTGTATATATGTAGAAAAAAGTCAGAAGAACCTTATACAAAATTGGAGGATAACGTTAGCACCCTTAGTTTTCTCAAATCCACTAGCATTTTTCTAGATCTATTTATTTTTGTACCATTAACTATTACTATTAATTTTGACCACTGGAAAGTCTAATTATCCTATCCTAGGTATAAATAAATTATACCTATAAATAAGTTACCTCTTTAGTTCAACAAAAACAAGTCTGGAGTTTTTTTAAAGGAACTTCTAAAGAAAACCGTAAATAAAAAGCAAAGTAAAAACATAGGAACCAAAGTATTTACAAGACATAAATTATGTTTACATTTTCCTAGAAGTAAAAGTTAGCCAGCTGGCTTAACTGATGCATTTAATGAGGCCATAAATTCCTTGTGGTAGTCCTTTATACAGGCATCTCTAACAAGACCCATAAAAGTCAGATTTTTTTTGATTCAGGAATACATTTGGGAATATTGTAGAAGAAATGGAATGACATGGAAAATACGTATAAAATGTGAAATTAAAATCATTTCTAAAACAGTAACATATACAGCTGGGTGTCATGGCACATGCCTGTAATTCCAGCTGCTCAGGAGAGTAAAGCAGGAGGATCATAAGTGCAAGACCAGCCTGGGCAACACGTCAAGACCCTGTCTCAAAAAGAAAACAACCAAATGATATAGACAAGATCCTAATTTTCTTTAAGTCATAGGATAATACAATGCATAGAAAAAAAGAAAAAACACACCAGAGACACACACTCAAAATTATAGTAGTAATTATCTTTAAATGGAGGAATTACAGTTAAATTTAAATTTCTTTGTAAAGCTAGGGATATGTCTCTGTAGTGGAGCACTTGCCCAGCATGTTCAAGATCCTTGGTTAAATTCTCAGCAACGCCAAAAAATATTATTTGTGCTTTTCTTCATTTCTAAATTTTCTGTAGGAACATTTACAAACTCAAATCATTTTGAGACAGGACTTCCCAAAGTTTCTGAGGCTGGCTTTGTGATCCTCCTGTGTCAGCCTTCTAAGTAGCTGGGATGTCTGTACTACCATAGCTGGCAAGTTTGATTTAAAATCTGAGCAACTAAGTATAACTGAAAGCTCAATCCCTGCCCCCAATGCCAAACAATGCCAATAATAAGGACACAGTTTTGAGAAAAGGGAAGAAGAAAGTTTATTGCTTTGCTAGCAAAGGAGAAACATAGTGGACTCCTGTCCCCAAAGCTGTGACTCACCGGATCAGGAGGGGCACGGGGGTGGTGTTAAAGGAACTCTTCAAGGGTTACATTCCAGGTGTGCTCTGGTAGCAGGTCCCTGGATGCCCTGATGGTGTTTTGGGATTCACTTGTTAATTTGGGAGATATTCATTTCCCAAATCCCCTGCAGGCATCTCCTTCCTTCAGTGGGTATGTTCAAAGTCAATTAACTAGGTGAAGAAAACATAACACTGTCTCCCTAATCTTGTTAGGAAGCGGGAGGGAGTGGGGAAGGGGAGGAGGAGAAGAGAGAAAAAAATTTTTCTAAAAAAAAAATAAGCCTTACAGCAATAAGGCCTATATTCAGAAGGTGAAGGGACCACTGTTAAGTAAGGATAGCATATTGTTAATGTTTTGTCTAATCTGTAAATGCTAAATTTTATTTGTACCACCTATATTAAAAGGTCTCACTGCTGAAATTATATCTGAAGAGATTTATATATCTATTCATTGAAATCTTCATGGAGTTTCTATTATTGTAAATAGTTGGGATATAGTAATCAAGAAGACAGTTCATACTGTTATGAAGCTTATTTTCTGATCAGATTATTAATCATGAAAATTCTATAATGGGTGGTATAATGTATCATTTAGTAACCATAAATGATTTAGTTTACCAGCTCTCAGGATTAAAAAATTACAACAAGCAGCATAACATTAGGGTAGAATAGATTCATGGTGGGTTTTTTGTTTGTTTTTGTTTTCTTTTTTACTGGGTATTGAACCCTGGGGGTGCTCTACTTCTGAGCTATATTCCCAGCCCTTTTTTATTTTTGGTTTTGAGATAGGGTCTCTCTGAGTCACTGGGATTATAGGCTCCCCAGCCCTTTTATTTATTTATTTTTTATTTCTTAGTTGTAGTTGGACACAATATCTTCATTTATTTATTTTTATGTGGTGCTGAGGATTGAACTCAGGGCCTTGCACATCCTAGGCAAGTGCTGTACCACCGAGCCACAATCCCAGCCCCCTCCCCAGCCTTTTTAATTTTTTATTTTGATACAGGATCTGGCTGGGTTGTTGAGTGACCTCTTAAATTATTGAGGTTGGCCTCAAACTTGTGATCCTCCTGCCTCAGTCTCCTGAGTCACTGGGATGACAGGGATATACTACCATGCTCAGCTATAGTAGTTGGGTTTTTAGAAAACATGTCAATTGGGAATAATATGTTGTTTTTTTTTTTTTTTTTTCAGTTTTAAAAAAGCCCCCTGTTTTGGTTTCTCAGCATGAAAGTCATCAAGCAATCTCCCATATTCCAACTGGACAACCTCTTTCCCCAAATGTGGCTCCAGGTATGAAGTCTTATTCTTTTGGCATTTCATTTAAAAACCATCTTATTGGTCATGTATTGTTATATAGTGAATAAATAACATGTCATTTAGAAGTATAGTGAAGTAGCATTCGAAGACAGGGTCTTGCTGTGTTGTCTATGTTGCTCAGACTGGCCTTAAACTCTCAATTCCTTTTCCTCAGCCTCCTGAATAGTTGGGACTTACAGGCATGTGTCACCATGCCTGACCGTCAAGCTATATAAATTAACCTTCCTTCAGAATGTGTTCATAGAACTGGTGGTGTTGCTCTGTGGTAAAAACTGTATTCATAGTTATCTTATTGAGGCCTTCTACAAATTATTACTGTGTAGAAGACCTTACTTGTTGCTTATGAATATGTGTGTGTGTGTGTTTTGTGGTGCTGAGGATTGAAAAAAACAGGGCCTTGTGCATGTGAGGCAAGCACTCTACCAACTGAGCTATATCCCCATCCCATGTTTGTTTTCTATTGAATACCTATTTGATTTTATAGAGGGTTCTAAAATGAGAATTATTGAAAGGAGGTGCTTTGGGGAAGATCATGGAAAGGAAAGATATAGAAATCAGTGGCACAAGAGGTTTATGATTCCAAAATTAATAGTAATAAGGATCTAATCAAGATTTTGATGAGGGGAAAAATGAGAGGTGGGAGAAAGAGAGGTTATATCAAGAAGATACTGCTGGGCTAGGGATGTGGCTCAAGCGGTAGCGCGCTCACCTGGCATGCGTGCGGCCCGGGTTCGATCCTCAGCACCACATACAAACAAAGATGTTATGTCCGCCGAGAACTGGAAAATAAATATTAAAAAAAAAATTCTAAAAATAAACAAATAAATAAATAAAACATTTGAGTTTTATTTAAACAGCATAACATATGGGCTTTTTTTTAAAAAAAGAAGATACTGCTAAGAAAGAATCTAGAGTTAATTGTGAGTCATTGTGTAGATGAAGGCAATGAGGAAACTAGAAATTTCAAAAGCCTTATTGGATTTTAGAGAATTTTGTCAGCAATATGGAGTTTGGAGAGAGGAAAAGAAATGGATATCATTGCTATATTAATGTCTGGATTTTTACTGTGTATATATCTCTTTGGTGAATAGGTTTATAATTGGTAATGGACATACTCATTTGTGAATGATTGGCAAACTTTGCATAGCTGAAACCACACTGGTAATTAAAGTAAAGCTTAAAAAACAAACAACAACAACAACAATAAAAAGTCTAAATGACTATCCAATGTCAGATAGTAATGTTTCTTAACTTTTCTAAAAGAGGGGTCTCATGAAATTCTTCTGTACAAGAATTGACGTTCTTTTAATTTGATGTTTTTATACCATAGGTTCATATGTAAACCACAATGGATATCCTGGCACTTCAAAACAGAACCCCTCCAACCCTCTTCAGCGTTTAATTCCAGGCTCAAATTTGGAGAGTGAACACAGAATTCAAACAGATATATTAAAGCAGGCCACTAAGGATAGAGTCAGTGATTTCCACAAATTGAAGCAAAGTAAGAATCAATTGATGAATACTATGTTAAAAAGATTTCTTTGAATATAATGTTTATAGGACTGAATCAAGGTCTTCATTATTACATTCTTTAATGATTGTGTAGAGACGTTATATGTATATAAAGTATAATAGTGTTAAAATTTAAAAGAAAAGCAGGATATTTTTTGTTTTTTATTTGTTGAAAAGCAGGTTTTAAATGGGTAGAAACAAAGAAATATTTAAAAGCTGATCATATTATTTACTGTTAAATTATAAATTTCAGGTGAGTTATTTTTTTAAAATACTATTCTTAAGAATTTAAGCTTATTTAGAGAAATGAGAAAAGATATACTTTGTTAGGTTAATGAATGGAAACTTTAAGAGGGAAGGAAAGTAAAATAATTTTGAGAAATGGAGGATTCTTGGGGAAACATACACTTTGGAGAGAATTGTCATAGTGGGTAGTCAATACTACTTCTTCCTCTCCTTTCAATTACAGTTTGCTTCATTTAGGTGTTAGGAGAGACATGAAACAGATTGAACAAATTCCTAGCACTCTTGTAGTGAACTATGGCTGCTTAATTATTTCAGAGATATTAATTTTGATAAATCGACAATTTCTGTTAATCTGTATAACTCTCTGGTTGGTGGGTTCTCAGGAAATATAAGAAAAACCTCTGTTAGCTGAGTAAATTTGGAGCTAGAAGGTATAGCTTTAGGTCAGCTCCCTTAACCTGTGCTTTTCATTCTTACTTTTCCTGTCTTCTTTCTACCTTCAATTCTGAATAGTCAGAATATCTAAAAGCTCTAGTTTGTCTTTTTGATGGTTTCTATGATAACTTTTCAGAGTAGTATGTAGTCAGTTATTTGTATATAGGTTGCTTATAGGTTGAAAACTGGAGAGTGTTACTATTTTTAAATTTATTCAAAATTTATTTGTTGGTCTTTTAACAAGTATTCATGTTTTTACACATATATAAATATATAGTTTGCATACATTGACTTCCTTGTTTTTTTTTTTTTAATACCGGGGATTGAACTCAGAGGCACTCCACCACTGAGCCATATTCCCCAGCCTATTTATTATTTTTGTATTTTGAGAGAGGGTCTCACTAAGTTGCCCATGCTGATCCTCCAGCTTGTGATTCTCCTGCCTCAACCTTCCAAATTGCTGGGATTGCAGGTATGTATCACCATACCTGGCAAAGCCTATTGACTTTTAAACTCTTAACTACAAATTATTTTCCATGAAGCATAAATCAATGCATATACTATTTTTTAAAATTTATTTTTTAGTTGTTGAGGAACCTTTATTTTATTCATTTATTTATATATGGTGCTGAGAATCCCAGTGCCTCACACATGCAAGGCAGTTGCTCTACCACCGAGCCACAAATACATACTATTTTCTAATTACTTTAATTAAAATTATTTCTTGTGGGCTGGAGTTGTGGCTCAGTGGTAAAGTCCCTGCCTAGCATTCATGAGGCACTGGGTTCAATTCTCAGCATGTATATAAATAAAAAATTAACTGATTAATTAAAGGCTCATCAACAACTAAAAAAAAATTAAAAATGAAATTATTTCTTGAATGTCTTTTATCAAATAATTATATACTTGTCATTGTGTGTACACTGGGGATTGAACTCAGGGCCTCCAGCATGCTAGGCAAGTGCTGTACTACAGAACTACATTCCGGCCCTTTTAACTTTGAGAGTCTGGCCTTAACTTGTGTTCCTCTTGCCTCAGCCTAGTAGATGTGATCACAGGCATGCAACACACACACACACACATATACACAAATACATTTACATTTATTTAGTTGCACTTAAGCAATAAGAATAGTTAATTTAGTTCTACTCTGATTCTCTCTTTTTGTAATACTGGGGATTAAACCCAGGGGCATTCTACCACTGAGCTAAATCCCCAGCCCTTTTTGTTTTTTAGTTTTGAGACAGGGTCTTCAACTTGTAATCCTTCTGCCTCAGCCTTCTAAGTAGCTGGAGTTACAAATGTGCAGTAGGCTCTACTTTACTTTCTTACTGATTATTTAGATTTCTTTGTATTTTCTCATTTTAGTTGATAGTGACTATCTTTTTTTCTTTTAATTATTTCCTGTTTCACCTATTTTGAGTATACCTTTAAAAGTATAGTACTAAGAATGAACTTACTGGATCAAAGCATTTAATTAGCTTCTGAGTTCCTGTTATATATTGCAGATTGTTATTTTTTTTAATATATATTTTTTATTTATTTATATGCAGTGCTGAGAATTGAACCCAGTGCCTCACGCATGCTAGGCAAATGAGTCACAACACCAGCCTCTGTCAGATTATTTTTTTAGAACATTTTATAGTGTCACTGGAGATACTTATCTGTTTTCCTGTGGCCTGGCTTGACCACATTGATATTTTTAATCTCTTTTATAAGTTATTTAGAATTTAATGAAGCCTGGTATAGTGGCATACATCTATGATCCTAGGTACCTGTGAGGCTGACAGTGGCTCTCTAGAGCCTAGTAGCTCAAGGAAAACCTGGGCAACATGGTGAGACATTGTTGGGAAAAAAATAGAATATAATGATTTTCTTTTTTTTAAGTATATATATATTTTCTTTTAGTTGTACACAGACACAATACCTTTATTTTATTTAATTGTTTTTATGTGGTATTGAGGATCAAACCCAGTGCCTCATACATGCTAGGCAAGCACTCTATCACTGAGCTACAGCTCTGGCCCCATGATTTTCTTAATGATATTTTAGTAGGCATATCCTTTCTGGTGTAGCCTGCTTTTTTGATTATTTCATTTTTATTTTATTTTGGGAGGGGTATTTTTGTTTGTCTTTTCTGTTTGTTTTGAGATAGTGTCATGCTTTTTTGCCCAGACTGGCTTTGAACTCTTGGATTTAAGTGATTCTTCCACCTCAGCCTCCTGAATAGTAGCTAGGGTTATAGATGTATGTCTTCAGGCCTAGCTGGCATGTTTTTGTTTTGCTTTGTTTCTGTTGCTGGGGTTTGCTGGACCTCACATGTGCTATAGCCCTAGTTGGCTTGTATTTTTATGTGAGGAGTTTTCTTGGGATTATTTCCTGGTATATAATGTGTATATCAGATTTGACCACTTAGCCTGAGAACTTTGTAGATTAGTCCTGAATATTTATATAAAATATTTTTAAATAATTAAGACACTAATTTAAAAAATATACATATTTTTAGTTGTGGATGGACACAATACCTTTATTTATTTTATTTCTTTTATGTGGTGCTGAGGATCGAACCCAGTGCCTCACACTGCTAGGCAAGTGCTCTAAAACTGAGCCACAACACCAGCCCAGAATACTAATTCTTATATATTGCTTTAATAACATTTTTCTTCTTTGCAACTTTCCTGACATGAGACTTATTTTTATGCTTTACATGTAAAAGGTTCCCCCACTCCTTGTATTGGGGATGGAAGCTAGGTAAATGTTCTACACTTGGCTATATCCCCAGCCTTTTTGAGACAGTTATACCCCACTGTACATACTGTCCTTGAAATTTTGATCCCCCTCTTGCTTCAGACACCCCAACAGCTAGGATTACAGTTTTGTATTGTCACTCCTGGCAAGTGTTTTATTTTTAATTAAAAATAATTTTTGTTGTGGTAATAAAATTTACTAAAGTAGGGCTGGGGATATGGCTCAAGTAGTAGTGTGCTTTCCTGGCATGCATGAGGCACTGGGTTCAATCCTCAGCACCACATAAAAATAAAATAAAGATATTGTGTCCACCTAAAGCTAAAAAATATTTTTTAAAAAATTTACTAAAGTATACATTTCAGTGGCATGTGATGCATTCACAGTGTTGTACAATCATCATCATCACTCTCTAGTTCCAAAACATTTTTATCACCCCAAAAGAAAACCCATACCTATTAAATAGTCATTCCCTGGTCTCTCATGCCCACAGTCCCTGGCAGCTATTAATCTGCTTTCTGTCTCTATGGATTCATGTATTGTGGATTGTTATTTATAGAAATCATAAAATAGGTGGCCTTTAGTGTCTGGATTCTTTTACTTAGCATAATGTCTTCAAGTTGCAGCCATGGTTGTTTGGCATGTGACAGTGCTTTATTCCTTTTTTTATGACTGGATAATATTCCATTGTATGTGTACATTTTGCTTATCCATTAATCTGTTGATGGACATTTGGATTGTTTCTACTTTCCTGCTATTAAGAGTAGCACTTTCTGGGGCTGGGGATGTGGCTCAAGCGGTAGCGCGCTCGCCTGGCAT